TGCATGTCCTTGTAAGCTTCCTGATGAAATGATGAGGAGCTCTGAGCACACAACAGGACGGGTCTGTCTGTGTGTCTGTGTGCTGTAGGATGAGTCATCAGACCCTCTGCCAGGCCAACTTCACAAACAAAGGCACAGTCATTGAACAATGTCTAATGATATTCTAATAAACCCGGCTTTGGTAAACAACCTCGTACCTTTTAAGAAGATTGAATGTCATTGATTCTCCTTGCTCCATTAGAAGAATAACAAACTCCTGTGCCCTTAAAAAAACTTTTTGGACACAAATAGATGACTAATATGTCATGGCTGCTTTTTTTAGTTTTCAATGAAAAACTGTAACACAATCATTTGAAAATTGTGTGTTTTTGTGCAGGTGGACACTTTAAACTTAGTTTTAATCTCTAACATCGCCAGAAGATTTGAAAGACTTTTAATTGTCATTACTGTTAATATTATGAATCAGTTCCGCTCCTGATGCACTATTCCAGCTGTGCTAATTTACATAATGGTAACAAATGTTGAGATTTTGGTTTATTTTGCTCCCATAACTTCTATCAGACTAGTGGAATGAAGGCATCCAAAATACACATTTAAAGGGACAGTTCACTCAAAAATGAAATGAAAAATGAAAATTCTGTCATCATTCACTCATCCTCATGTCGCTCAAAACGTGTATGGATTTCTTTCTTCTGTTGAACACAAAAGAATATATATTTTTTTGAAGAATATGACAGTAGCCACTGACTTCCATAATATTTCCTTATGGAAGTCAACTGGGTCCAAAAACTGTTGGTTACCAACATTCTTCAAAATATCCCTTTGCCTGTTTATTTTATTACATTTTATCTATTTGATTCTTCTAGATTTCAGTTACAATACATCTTAAAAAAAAAAAACAAATACAAATCTCCACTTGCATACTGTACATCAAACTTTACAGATTTATTCTATATTCTTAAGATTTTTTACTAAGGGGTTTGTTCATATACACTCTAAAAAATGCTGGGTTAAATACAACCCAGTGCTGGGTAAAATAGGGACAAACCCCGCAATTGGGCTGTTTTGACCCAGCGGTTGAGTTAAATGTTTAACCCAACCTTCTGGGTAGTAACCCAACCGCTGGGTCAAAACAACCCAATTGCTGGGT